TCCTTTGGGCTGAGTCAGTGCAGTTCACACCTCCGGAGACATTAGCAGATAGCACTTTATTTTACCAACCTTATGGGTCTGCTCTGCTCCTTCAGAAAGGGGATGTGGCTCAGTTTCTAAATGAAAAGGGCCCGAGCAGGAATAATGGATCAGGGACATTGCCTCGCTCAACCTTCCGAGACCTCCTGGGGCAGCTCTGACCTTTCACCTGTCTGATGGAGACTCACGGCAAGGGACACAACAAAAAAATCGCCTGGCAGGAGAGCAGAGGAGAGAGCGGGCAATGACGCCAGCTTCGCTGCTTGAATGGCTATAACGTTTTCTTTAACCCACTTTCCCGATTCAGCGTTTCTGCCATGTGTAATTTACAGTCATGTCCAGTGAGACAGCCGCAGCTTTACACGGGACACAGGCAAATTTGGGTGTAAAATGAGTGACGTACCTTGTCATGAGGGAGGGGGTTGTGCAGTCTGCTCCAGAGAGCTCTGCACTAGCTGCCCTCCGGTACGTCTGGCCGGGCGATTTCTGTAATCACCGTGCTACGACAAACCAGCTTTATTTTAGATTCTTATGACAGGCTGTGGTTCTGAAGCACAAGGCCTGTTGCTAGAAGGCTCTGTCTTGTCATTTTATAGACTTTGCAGTGCATCGCCTTTCCCGTCGGAGCCCAGCAATGGCAGCTCTCACGAACGCACTCGGGATATGCAACGGGACTATGTGGCATTGTCAAAAGTTTCTGTTTGATCTTGTTAGATGTACTTGGCATCACGTGCGGATTCAACCCCGGCTAATACTGCACCATAGAAAAAGTCTCACGTTAACGACTTTTGTCACAAAAGTCATTAACATAATAGGACTTCCACATCAAAATTGAATATTAATGCTACACCAGGCTGCGGCAGTAAGAAGGATAATTGCTCTAATACATTTTCCAGTAGGATTTTCGCATCATCGTAGCAATTGCATTAGCAAAACCGATTATTAACACATCTGAGACAATGGAAAGGGCTCATAGGAGTTAAGTTGGTTCCTTTTTTCTCAGGACTACAGCCTGAGCTGATGAGCTCTGTCTCTCCCCTTCACCTCTCCCAAAAAGAAAAACGCTCACAAACCAAACCACAGACCCTGCCAGAATGGACGCTACAAGCCATGGGAAGCAGACATCCAACTGGAAATGTTTATGGACAATTAGGAGACTGGGGGCCTGATCCAAAGTTGGTCAAGAGAAAAATTCCCCTTCACTTCGGTGGGCTTTGGCTCAGGTCCTGTTGTGTAAGTATTCGCAGGAGCAGGCACCTTTTGCTGTTACAGAGACGGCTAAGTGACAGTTCACCTGCATTCTGTACAACACACTGGATTGTCAGTGCAGATACCACATGCAACAGTTGCGGGTTGCTTTCCTGCAGCCCCTCCCAGGGCTAACCAGAAAACTAAATGCAATGTGGCAAAGCATTCATAATCCTATATACATATCTCACTTTCTCACACAGTGTTTGAACTGTAGACGGTAATGGGGGGGCTTCTCGTGCCTTTCATGAGTTTCATGCAGCTTTCCTGGATCTACTCAATCACAGCTACCTGGCTGAGTCTTTCATCGGCCTTTGGACTGCATCGGATTGCACCTGATGCCATAGATGTGCGTGTACCTGAGAGGGGGAAACAGAAAGAGAGAGACCTTGGGGTGAAAGTGGACAGCAAATTAGACACGTCTTTGCAATGTGATGTGAGTTTGCAATGCAACTCTGAGCTGTGTAATGAGAGACATCACCTCCCTGCAAAGAAAAGAAATAATCCTCTCCATGTCTCTCGTGTGTCCCCACCAGGGGTACCCCCATAGCTGAGAAAGCTGTATATCCAGGATTAGAAACCAGCCCTCCTGACTCCCAGCCATGTGCTTTCAAGACCAGAACGTGCATCCTCTATTGCTCCTCATGTGCTCCCTCCTGATCTTTGTCAGCCTTTTTAAGTCTGGATGGAAAATGAATCCTAGAGAGGATGGCTTCGTCAGATGAGCACCAGCATATCAGATTCTCTAGAACCACAGGTCCAAACCTAGGGTCTGCTCACCCCTCCTTCTTTCTTCAGGGAGTTTATCAAGGAGCACACAGCTTACTCAGTGAGGGCGTTGGGGTGAGGCCTTACAACCAGGGCCCTGTCTCTTGGGCATGGATGTTAAGATTCTGCAGCAGGTCCTGGTGTCCTTGACTCAAACTCCCCTCATAGAATCATAGAATATCAGGGTTGGAAGGGACCTCAGGAGGTCATCTAGTCCAACCCTCTGCTCAAAGCAGGACCAATCCCCAACTAAATCATCCCAGCCAGGGCTTTGTCAAGCCTGACCTTAAAAACCTCAAAGGAAGGAGATTCCACCACCTTCCTAGGTAACGCATTCCAGTGCTTCACCACCCTCCTAGGGAAAAAGTTTTTCCTAATATCCCTCCTTCTAATGTGGGGCTGTTTTGTCCACTTCACTCCCACCCTGCACCTGAAAGATGGCAGAATATACGTGGCATGGATGAGTACATGTATAGATCTACACAGTGTACGTATGTACGTGTAGTGGGGGTGGATAGATAGATAGATAACTTTGCTACACTAGAAAGTGGCCCAGAATAGAGGCCAGTCCATGCACAGGGAGCTGCCTTGAAGAAAACACAGAGATGGGCATGGCAGGGTGGAAGGAGATGCGATGGAAGGTGAGGTCTGAAATGTTGGCTAGGGGAAGATGTGCAGGGCTTTGAAGGCGTGACGCACCCATGATGCACAGTGAGACTACAGTCTTCCATACTAAGTTCCCTGATGCCCACAAACCCCGTTAGTGTGGGGCAGGACAGAGGAATCCACACTCCCCTTTGGTGGGTGAAGGGATCGGAGTGTGTCACAGGGTTACATATTTTGAATACTAATCTGATTACTTGTAACTAGTTACTGTCACTCTAATCACCTGCTCAACAGCCCTCCGGAGCAGCATTGTGCTTAAGACTCACCATGGCCTCCAGTCCCACTGAGGGTCAATACAAGCCTTGATCACACATAGCCCTGGGCGCAGAGATAAAACTCATTCATTCTGTGAATCTGAAATTAGTGGGAAGCCTGAATGCCAGGAGACCTGCCCTTCCCTTCCAGGCACTGTGCAAAGGAGAGGCTGATTGCTTATCAGACACCTGGCTGGGTTGGGCCTTGCACTATTTTGGCTTAGAGGACTCACATGAAGCTTGTACCTTGGCATTCTCGCTCTCTTCTACTCACCCCTCTGCCCCGAGTTTAAATTTCCTCCCTTTACATGACACCTTTACCAAACGCATGCAGCTTTTATTCTAACCACCCCTTTTTATAAGAATGGCCAGGGCTCCGGTGAGTCCCAGTGGGAAGGAGATGTTTCCTATCACCTCGGAAAGAGACTAAACCCTGGCAGTGGAAAACTGATGAAGCATCCAGAGCAGAAACTCATTCAGTGTCGCAGACCACCAGATTTGCAAATTAGCAAGTAAGCACAATGAGAATAATTTTAAAAGCCTACAATAAAATCACCCAGGATGCTGCATCCCAACCGCAGAATAAAAGTCGTGCACTCTGAGTAATACCAGGCCTCACTACTATTAAGAGGAAAGGGCTTAGTGATTCAGATAAAATGCTTGGAGTTATGAGACGGGGACATTTGGATTCTGCTCTGGATCCTTCCCTGGTGACTTGGACTAGCTCTGTGAAATCCTTGCTGAGAAGCAGGGCGACTAGATGGGATGTTTTGTCAGAATTAATTGGGGCTTGTGGATTAGCCAAGTGAGAATTAGAAAGGTTTTGTTGTGCTTATTGTTATTTCTCTAGCTCTGCCTGTGCGCTGGATGCTTTACAAGTGAGTACAAAGAGGAGGTCTCTGCCCCAAAGCGATTGCACTCTAACTAAATGCTCCCTGCTCTCTGTGTCCCTGCAGTGGCAAAAAACAACCCCCTTAAAGACTCAGGGCCTGATTCTTATCTCAAGCTGCTTTCACACCAGCTTCACTTCATTGTCTTCAAGTTACTCCTTGTTTACAGCAGTGTAAGTGAAATCAGAATCCAGATCTCACTTTTTCTGTGATGTCACAAAAGGAAAATATATTTAAGCTGCCAGATAATTAATATATAATATAATAATAAAATATAATTATAATAGAATAAATTACAGTAAATTAATAAACTGCCAGACGCATACATGTAGGCACAGGGGGCTGCCCTCATGGGTCTGTTTGCAGGACTGGCACCTAAAGATTCTCTGTATGACCTTGTCTGTCTTTTCAGTGGTAAGTGCTTTGGGCCCAGCAACGTGTTTACTTGTGTCTCAGACCACACCCAGTGTCGGGCTGGCCCCCGGCATCAAGCAGGGAGTGCCATAGAAACTGGCCCCACAGGGAAAAAGTTTGCACTGTTAAAGTTGCACAGAGGGGTCCAATGCAGAGCTACTTGGTTTCTGTACAAAGAGGAGGGAGACAAAGACTGTGGTGCCCGTGGTAAAGGCACCGGTCTGGGACTCAGTTGGATTCTTGGCCCTGCCACAGACTCCCTGTGTGCACTTGGGCAAGTCCCTTAGTCTCTCTGCACCTGGACTGCCCACCCACACAAGCGATAATGCTGCCCACCTCCCACCATGTACCTGCCTTGTCTAGGCCCTGATCCTGCAAATGACTTACGGGCCTCCAGGGGGTTTACTGGAGGGCCCTGGGTCACTGACCCTGCAAGGGTCTATGGCAGGATGGGGCTTTAGGCCTCTGTCTGCCGCAGAGCTCCCTAGTGCAGTCACGTCCTGCACCCACCGAAGGCGGTTTTCCTGCTGGTGCAGATGTGACCAAAGCACTATTCCAGGGGCCTGGCTGGGTCTACAAGGGGGCATAGCTAAGTGTGTGTGTGGGGGGGTGCTGTATCTGGCTCCATGTATGTGCAGCGCCCTGTACCACCAGATCTGGCCGGGGCCCCTAGGTGCTACACAGCTGCCCACAGTCCAAGGGAGGGGAGCGGGAGACCCTGGCAGGGCTGGCTCCAGCGGCTGGGGGCCACCCACCCCAGGGAGGTCCGTGGCCTCCCCAGTGACCTGCCAGGAGGAGCAGGCAAGAGGAGCCCCGGGAGGCTGAGGCGAGCCCGGCGCCTTTAAGAAAGCGGAGCCTCCAACCCCGCCGCGCTCAGGGCACCGCTGGAGCTCGCTGTGAGGGAAGGAAGGTGAAAATCCAGCGGGCCCCGAGAGCAGGGAAAGAGGGGCCGGTGCACCGCCAGCTCCCGCCTGCCCCGAGGGGAACGGGGGCTGGGAGGAATGTGCTGAGCCGGGCGCTGGAGGGGGGTGGGGGGTCCCGGCTCCTGCCTTCGCTTCTTCTTTTCGTGTGTGCAGAAGTCCGAGCAGCAAATCTCTGTTTCCTCCTCTTGTTTTGCGCGGTGCGATGTAGGGATTTCCTCTCCCCTCCCCCCAGCCCGGGTGGCTTCTGCAGCTGCAGCGGGGACGTTACTTTGTCTTGATCCCCGCAGACCCGGCCGGCTGCCAGGGCGAGGGCGCGAGCTCCGGGCCGGGGGAGCCGGGGGGCATGTAGCCGGGGCGATGCGCGCCGCAGCCGCACCGTTTGCATTTGCCGAGGCGGACGAGCAGGAAGAAACGGGAGTTACCCCGGCCCGCGCCGCGCGCGAGGCAGGGCCCGGCCGGCGGCGGCTCCGCTCCTCTCCCGGGGAAGGGGGAACATGCGACTCGGCCCTAAAAAACCCAAACCCCGCCAGGTAAGTCCCGTGCCCGGCGCAGCGCCCCGCACCCCGGGCAGCCAGAGCCGGGCTGGGGCAGCGCCCCGCACCTCGCGATGCTGGGGGGGATGGGGGGGGGAGTTGGCAATGAATGAAAAGCCCCGCTCAGCTTTGCAGGGGGGCCTGGGCTGCACGCGTGCCCCCCCCCCCCCGGCAAAGGCAGCGGCAGCGGGGGGGACAGATTCGATGTTGTCGCTTCTCTCCCATCCGTGTTCTGTGGCGTGTCCCCCGGCCCCACTGTGGGGGAGCGAGGCGCGTCCCCCGGCCGTAACTGGGGAGGCTCCAGCCCCCCGGGCGCGCTGACTGACCGGATTTACTCCACGCAGGCAGGTAGGGGACCCTGGCACCGGAGCAAAATCATAAAATAATCCCAGCCGAGCCGGCCCCAGGACGCAGCTTCCAGCTCCGCCGTGGAAAAATCCGGGATCCGGCACCAAAACCCCCCAAGAGCAGCAGTTTCCGCTTTCGGGAGAGCGAGCGGACGCATCAAAGCAGCATCCCCCAGAAATTGCCCTGCTCCGAGGCGTGTTCCACCGGCCCGCGCTGCACGCCGGCTTCGGGGTCTCCAGCGCCCCGGGCTCTGCCCTGCCCTGGATTTGGGCTTATCCCGCAGATCCGGCCCGGGAGGCGGCGACCTGGCGGTAGGTGCTTTGGGCTTGTTTGCCTTTTTCATTCTTCTTTTTTTTTTTTTTGTTCCAGTCTTTTTGCCGCATTTCCTTCTGCCCCATCCCCCCATTAATTGCTAAATGAATGGAGACTGAATTCCAGGGGGAAACTGGCCCCCTTGCCCTGGTCCACTTCTACATCCACTCCTCCTCCCCCGGTGCAGTTCAAGGAGCTTTCATGGCGACCCTAATCCCCCCCCCCAAAAAAAAACCACAACAAAGGGGGTTTAAAACCAGCCCCGCTTTCTCCGCTGCCCGCTCGCGGTGTCGTTAGGGAGCGGCGTGTTGTTTACTAACTTTGTGTAGGGACCAGCGGGATAATTGCCGCCGGCCTCCGCTCTCTTCCAGCGCCGAGCCAGGCCCAGCCGACACATGGCTCTCATTTCCAACTTTTTAAAAATAAATCGCTTCTGCTTTCATAAAACCGCAACGGCTCAGCCGCCGAATGAGCCTGGTCCCAACTTAACCTTTGTCTTCAGAGCGCAGCTGGCTTCGGGGGGTTTTGAGCCCCGGAGCCTGGCCCGGAGAGTCTCTTTTGCAATTTGCAGGCTGTGTTTAAAGCAAGACTCACTGCGGACATTTTTGTTGTTGTTGAGAGACGAGAGATTTCTTCTTCTTCTTCTTCTTCTTCAAATAAAATTCCTGGCTGGGAGTTTTAATTCTTGACTGGGTTATTTTTTAATAATTATTTTCGTCTTTGTACATTTAAAATCCCAGCAAGATTGTGCGAAAATAAATCGATAGAACAAAATATATCATGTCTCCAGGTTTCCTTTGCAAATAGATTTACAGCTAACAAGGAAAACGCGAGGGAGGCACGGCTCGTGCTGCAGATTGCATTTAATGATTGCGCCCGAAAACAGGACAGGGTAAAGCGGGCAGCAAACCCCGGCTTCGTACAAACAAAAATCTGATCCGGGACCTGTAAAATCTGCAGGTTAAAAGCCCCGTAATGCAGCAATCTTTGCACGGCTATTTTTACGCTCCAAATGTGGGCTGGCTAACCAGCTGCTGTATACCCAAGGAAACCCACAGCTGTGTTTCCGTCCCAAACTGGGAAGCGAATTACAAATAAATACAATTGTCCACGTTTTTAAAACAATATAAAATTGCAGTCCAGATGGGGCTAAAATACTTATAAAAGGGAAGAAGTAAAACAGGGTTATTGTGCTTTCCTGGGCGCCCTAAAAATGCGGCCCCAACTCTCCAGTCTTTTGTTTCTGTTTTCTTTAAGGAGGCTGATCGCAGGAAGCCGCCGCTAAAAGTTTATATCGACGTCCTGCAAATTCAGAGTAGAAAGTATATTTGTGCTAGTAAAACATAGATTTATGTAACGATTTTTAATTAAAGTGATCGACTTTTCTGTTAACAAAAGAGGTAGTGAAAGCCGGAGCTGCCAGGATTAAAGCTCTGGGTTCCGCTCACGGGAAGCGACCCCGCTTTGATTCACACACCCGCCGTCTCATCCTCAAGCGGCTGTTGGTCCCTTTCGAGGGGAGTTCGGTCAGACTCGGTGTTTTGTGGCGTTTGTTTCTTCTCCGCTCTCCTCTTGGGCTCGGTGAAAGTCTGTTGCAAAGGGAGAGGGAAGGAGACTCCCCCCTCCCCCCAGGCTCGTTAAGAAAACCCGCGGGCAGGCTCGGTTCTGCTTGGTTCTTGTTGTTGTTTTAAAGCCAAGAAACAAGAAATGACATTTTTTGGGGGGGGGTGCATTTAAAGGGGCCTAGGGGCTGGTTCAGGCCGGAGCAGGGGGCAGCCTCTGACCTAACAACCCTAACCCAGGGTTTCTGTTGCCAGTGGGTCCCAGGCTAGTCTGGGGAGCCCGACCCCCTGGCTTGCAGCCCCGTTGCGCTGTGGATGAAAAGGCCTGGAAACGTAGCTGGAGGCGGGTTCCCCTCCCCAGGCAGGCGGGGGATGCGGAGGACGAAGGCGGCCGGGGGCAGAGCGGGAACGGGCAGGGAAGATGGCCGGCGCGGCGAGGGCGGCGAGCCGGGGAAGCGTGCGCCGGCTCCCGGGGGGCGCGGGGAGCTCTCGGGGGTCCCTGGCCGGCTCGCCGGGGCCCGCGTTCTGCGCGGCAGCGGGCCGGGTTCCGCCCAGCCGGGGGCAGGGGGCTCTCCGGGGCCTGCAGCCCACAGGGCTCCGGCCTTTCCCCGCCGGGACCGCAGAGCCACCGCGGGTCGCTGCAAGTTTCACAACAAAACCGGGGGCTGCAGCGGGGCGAGGAAATCAAGCCGCCAGGCTCCGCTAGGAGCTGCAGGCCCGCAGCGCCCTGCCTGCCCCACCGCCCCGGGCTTCCGGAGGGAAGGAACCCGCCTTCCCCCATGCGAGCTTGGGGATGGGGCCTTCCCAAGCCGGCTTCCCCTTCCCCAGTGCAAAGGCAGAGCTCGCTCGGTGGGCTGGTTTCGGGGGGCTTGTGGGGCTAATTCTCTCGCCTCCCTCCCCCCGTTTTCGGGGGCTGTGACAGAAAAAAGCAAAACCAAAGCTCCCCGCTTTTCTCCAGTCGGCTCCCCGGGAAAGGCCGGTCAGTGCTAACAGCCGGGACCCACGGAGCCAGCACCCCACCAACAGGGCCGGGGAGCAGGCAGGGCTGGCGGGAGAGGCAGGCTGGCGTGCAAGAGCAAAGCCAGCAAAGCGGAGAGAGCAGCCCCGACACCAGCCACGCTCAGCTTCCCTAAAAGCATTTCTTTCTCTTGGTTGTGGTTTTAAAAAGCCATTCATAATTGATGTGCAGCCTAGTCCCCCTGCGTGGCTGCTGGGTGCAGGCCTTGTGTCTTTTAGCCACACACACACACTCTTTCTGATGCTGTGTGAGCAGATAAGGCAGGAGGGGTTTTCCAGTCCTGGCTTCCCCCCCGGCCCCCCCAATTTGGGGGGCAGCTAAAAGTCCAAAACAAAAGAGTTGAAAGAGAAAGCAAGGAGCTCTGGCCCCTTCTCCGGGCTGTAAGTCCACCATCGGATGCCTGGGTCTGGTTTGCATTGAAGGGACAGGCTGCTCATTAGCACCCACCCCTCTCGGGCTTTTCCCCAGTTTCTTTTCAATGGGGATTGTGGATGCAAGCTGCTGGCTTGCTCGCTCTCTTTGCTCACAGTTGCACTGGGAGATGGAGCAGGAGGTAGCTTTTAACTCAAACACCAGGAAAACGGAGGGCTCTGGGCCCTTTTTCTTGGTGACTTTGTGCTGGACTTGGGGCGGTGGGGGCAGCTGTGAATCCCCTCCTAAGGGAAAGAACATGGTCTGTCTGGCCCAAAGAATGTGAACCCCAAAATGCAGGAGCTGGGAGCTGGATTTGCTCTGTGCTGCCAGGAACGAACACACACACACACTCACTGCCCAGAGCTGTGACACCCACACCCTGGCCTGCCCTTTACACAACAATGAAAAAGTCAAACCTCAGCCAGCCGGTTTCCCATGGGAAGCCAAAGGAAAAGCCCCGGCGCTTCAGCCCTGAACCCCGGGCCTCCTCAGCCAACCCCTGAAGCCAGCCTCCCTTTCCCAAGGCCCTGAGTTATTCCATCCTGCAGGCCCAGCATGCACACACAGACAGACACACAAGTCAAACAGCGGCCCTAATGATCACTTAAGGTTGCCTTTGCAAATCCCATTCCTATTGGTGGCGCAGAGCCGCTGTTCACGGGCCTGGCTGCCAGCTGCAGGATTCTGGCACTAATTGCGTGTTTATCAAAACATGCCCCCTTTTGACATGTCAAAACATATTTGTGCAGAACGCGGTGCGCCCCCCCCCCCCCGTTCCGCGGGAGGGGCGCTGGGTGACAGGCAGGGCTGGTGTAATATGCCTGGGTGTGCAGGTAGCCAGGACTTGGGGGTCCCTGGGATGCCCTGCAAAGGGGTCTTTGGGGTGCTGTAGGGACAAGGTGCATCTGGGAGCCTGTCACTGGGATTATTTATTATCACTCTTTATCTAAAATCCAGCTTCCCCTTCTCCTTGCCATGTGCTGGGGGCTTTCTCCCCTTGGAAGAGTCTGCTTCTTATTGAACTGGGTCTGCTGGCTTTGCTGCTTTTGCCACTCTCTGTCACTTCAGCCCCTTCCTTCCCTTTAATGTGTCTCTCCTCCCCCCCCACCCAGTGCCTGGGTCTCCTGCCTTTTCATAATAATTCCCAAACTCTGGAGTGGGGGCAGAGTATTAAACTCCCTTGAATTTACCCCAGATGGGTCGCTTCATTAAGACCCTCACACAACAAACCTATGGAGGGGTGTGTTGGGGGTGTGAACACGCTAGGATATATTTAGCTGCACATTAGGACTCTGCATTATACAGGGCATTAACTAAGCATTTGGAAGTGGAAAAGCTCTTTGAGCTCCTAACCTAAAAACCTCTGCTCCGGGCTGATTGGACTCCAGGCCTTCCTCTCAAGCGGGGGGGATTCTCTCCACTCTGCCCCCCCCCAGCTATAGTAAATAAGGGCACCATTTATGATGTGTGCGGGTGTCTGTATATGTAACACTGTGTGCGACTGTACGTGTGGGTGTGTGCGCTGAAATCCTGTTTGGGTTATAAAGGCTCATTGCCCCTTAGTTGTGTTTCAGTCCTTTCCTACAATGCAACCAGCTTGTGAGGAAGCGGCCAGGCTTCTTTTGAGATTAAAAATGTATTTGGGGCTTCAGTGCAACGTCTGCCTGTTCGTCTGTCCGTCCCCAGACACTTCAGTGAGGTAGATTTATTCCATTAACAAATTTGTCAGTCTCCTGTACAAAGAGGGAGGCCAGGGCTCCTGCAAGATGTGGCTAGCTCTGGGGAGGCCAGAAGGGGCAGGGCTGTATTATTGCCTTGGCTAGTGATATTTGTAGGTGAATGGCAATAACTAGCCCGAACTGGTTTGACTGGGAGGGGAAGGTCGCCTTGTCAGGATGCTCTTTGCCTTTTCCTGGCTGCTGTCCTCTCCAGGCTAAGTCTGCTGTGACCAGTGCAGCCAGGGCAGGCTTCCACCCCCCAAAATGACCTGTTTCTACCCTGGATA